TTAGACGGTAGTTGGTATGCCAGTTTTTAAAATCTAAAAGCTTCTTAGATCAACCGCAGTAGATTATGATATCTATTTTGCTACGGTATTGCTACCCCTTCAGTATAATTGGTCTAAGGGCCATTAGATAGTCGTGAAACTGGCATTTTGGTTTTAGTCAGTGATTGGTCTATGTTTTTTCATATGTGCGTACTTTTTTAATGATCTAATGGCTTCTTGGGCCAGCTACTGTAGATTGAGAGATAGCTATTGTGTTTGGCTGGTATGGTAAGTCATTAGATCGTAAAAATATGACGTACAGATGGAAAACTGGCGTTTTTGTCCATGGTTGGTCTGCAGGTTCTCCGTGTGTAAATCCATTTTTTCATCTAATGGCTTCTTAGACTAACTGAAAATTATAAGATGCTTTTGTGTTTTGGCATTGCACCATTGATCTAAAGAGCCATTATATTGAAAAGTTCATATTTAGGGGAAACCGATATTTTGGTTTTAGTCGGTGATTGTCTGTACGTTGCCCCGTGTATGTTCTACACTATATTCAGTGATTTATCCAGGAAACTATTAGATTTTAAAAAATTAGACACAAACATGAAAATGGCTTTTTGGTTTTTGTCAGTGCTTGGTCTGTAGGTTTTCCTGTGACTATGTTTTTTATGCCCTAATGGTTTCTTAGACCAACCACTGAAGGTGATGTATTGAAAATATAGTTGTATAGCTTATACAGCTGTTGGGCTATCTTATAAGTAAGATTGCTATAGTGTCTCGGCATTTCAATAGCATTAATGATTGGTTTAAGAAACCGTCAGATCGTAAAAACATGAGGAACAAACAGTAAAACTTTCATTTTGGTTTATCTCAATAGTTGGTATGTACGATTCCACGTGTGTATGTTCTTTTTGAACTCTAATAGTTTCTTATATCAACCTCAGTAACAGATTGACATAATTAAGTTTTTACAGGCGATATCAAATTTCCTTGAAGACCGACTCAGTCCCAAAATCTTTAGACATATTTAAGTTTGTTTTGTACTGATGATGAACTTAAAATAGGTTAAAAGTTTGGCAATAACTACTAAATTTGCTTTCTTCTTCAAGATCATACCTTGATCCAGTCTTCGTGAGCCATTAAATCATAAGTAAAATGAGTTTCAAACAATGAAACTTTCAGTTTGGTTTTAGTCACTGGTTGGTCTGTACGTTTCATGGTTACGGTTGGTCCTGTGTTCATGTCCTTTTTATAGGTTGTAATAGTTTCTTAGACTAATCACGAATGTTTATAATTTCTCTATGCTGTTTCGACATTTTACGATATACAGTGGTTGGTCTAAGAAGTTGACTCTGAAAAATGACTGGTAGACTGACATTTTTGGGCGTTGGTTGTTCTGTGAGTCTCTTCATGGGTTGTACTGACTTTTTTAGTCCAAACCCAAATGGTTATAATTTGACTATCGTGTTTCGACATTTCACCATCTACAGTACTTAGTCTAATAAGTCATTATAATCTAAAAAAAGTGATGGGTAGATAGTCGTTTTGGTCATTGGTTAATCTGTGACTCCCCCGTTTGTATTTGTGAAACCAACCAATGAAGGTTGCCAGTACTATTGTGTTTCGGCATTTTGTATGTTTAGTGGTTGGCCAAAAAGAATCTTGTAGAACCTAAAATAAAAGGACGAGACGGCTTGCTGTCATTTTAGTAATTTTTTCTCGCTGTTTGGTCTGTCAAAAACGCCATCTTCAGTGCTAGGTCTTCGTAAAAATCTCACAGTCTATGAGGATTGATTTTCGGTAGTGGTTTGTCTGTGTGTTTTCTCTTGCGTATGATCTTTTTATAGGCAACCACTGAAAGTTAAAAACTAAATATTCCATTGTTGATCAGTTATGACCAAATAACACACCTTTAAACGCTAATAATTTTACCATCTATAATTAAACGTTTAAGAAATTATTAAAACCATACAGCAAGTGGTACTTTATATGTATTTATCGTTGAGTGTTTAATTTACATATACAGGATGTTCCAACGGGATAGGAGAAATCGTTCTTTTTATTGTTTTGTTTATCGTTTTAAAATCATATAATATTTACAGGTATGTATTATTATTAGTTATTAATTAACAGTGATATATGTAGTTTGATATAACCATCACTGTTTTGATCTCTTATGACTGTGATTTAAAAAAGGCAGGATGGTCCGAAATGACCAAACTACTGGCTCATCACCTCGCACATCCCGAGAAAAAGATCATACATTAACCGAAAAAACTTTAAATATCCGTTATTAGTCGTAAGAACAGAAAGTAGACGAGAAAAAGCTTTATGTACGTCGAATTTAAAGGCAGCCCTTCACGCACGGTTGAAACGCTCAAAGCAAAAACCGTTCCAGCAGGTGCCAGGCATCATATCCTTCCAACAGGTGTCCCACCTGTGCCCTTCCTCCTACTCCCAACCGAAAACCTTTGAGAGTCAGTTGTAAGCCTGAATACGATAGAGTCCAAGTTCTGTAACGTCTAACGGTTAAGATGATTGAAGAGCCTTGGAGGATTTGCTCCATCGGTGAGCCCGTTGATTTCTGAAAGATCTATGCACCCCTTAATATGCATTATTCCATTGTTAAAATGTCAAATTTTATCACTTTTTTTTATTCTTCTCTTCTTTCTTCATGGTTGTTCGCTTAACTGTTAACATAGTTTTTAAGGTGTTTTCAGGAACGTACAACCATTTCGACATATCATTTTATTACAGCGATAAAATGAATAAAATGATATGTCGAAATGGTTGTGGGTCCCTGAAAAACACCTTAAAAACGATCTTAAATTTTTTCACGTTTTCAACGTATCTTATGGTTTAATAGCAGTTATTCTTCGTCCTCTATATTCTTGTTTTATCTACTATATACCCGCGTTTTACCCGTCACGAGATTAAAATTTGATTTCTTAATTGCATATAATTTTACCAACATAAAATTGTCTCTGCCTCTCTGGTACTAGAAGTACTTTGCCTTCAGCGCAATCTGATGTAGAACAATGATAGGTAAATGAGGATAACTTTTTTTTTACATTGTGCTTCTCATTATAAAACCGTGTATATTTTTGTATTTGTAGCTAGATTTTTAGCGTGCTTGCGTGTTTATCTGCAAATTCTGTCACTTAGCACACCCGGAAATGCAATAATAATAGACAAATAAAGAGTGGCTTTTTTTACATAATTGCAAAATTATGTAATTGCTACTCTTTGCAAAACCGCGCAGAATTTATTATCTATTTGTAGCAAGATCGCGCGTGCGTGTTTGTATGTAAAAAACCAATCTGCCACTTAGCACACCCTGATATAGAAGAGTAATAGATAAATAAAAAGTGGCTCTTTTTTTACATTATGCTACCCTTTGAACAACCGCGCAGAATTTATTATGTATTGTAGCAAGGTCGTGGTGCGTGCGTGCGCGAATCTTTTTCTCTCATTTAGCAAACCCTGATATGGAATAATAATAGAAAAATAAAGAGTTGCAAAAAATCTGCGTTCCTACGTCCGTGTGACTAAAATGTTTCCAAGTAAAATCTATTTTGTTATTTTTTAAGCTAAAATTAATATTCAACTAGCACCTAATTAAGCATAACATCAAATGTATTCTCTATTGTTAATGTTTTATTACTTTTTCCACCGGATCTTTTATAAAAAAAGAATCTTACATTGCTGAAAATCCAGAATGATGTTTCTGCTTACATAATTCAAAATGAAAGCTAAATGTTAGGCAACAAAACTACTAGTAGATAATATTACAGTTTTTGAATTTTTTTCTGAATGCCTATTAACACTCACCATTCTATGAAATTATCCTTTTGTGACAAAATAAATTCCTGTTTTATTTATTACTTCTTATAATTAACTCATCTTGCATTTTAATAATAATATTTAATAAATAAAAATGGCAATGTTTATAGCTCAAGTAGACAATTTTATAGCATAATTAGTATTGATACATCTTGCAAATAAATATTCATAAAAGCTGCCCCTATTAAAACAAACCGGGAAGGAAAATATAGAAAGAAACTTCAAAATTAAGTTCATTGATATTAACACTTATGACTCATTAACATCACATTTGAACATAAAATTTATGAAATATTTGTTCCACTTTCCTAAAACGTTTCCTCATTATCGAATTTCAAACAAGTCTTCAAGAAACTTCAAGACTTTCAAAAAGAAAGAAGAAAGAAAAGCCTAGACTGTAAAAAGGGAAAGAACTTCCTATTTCGTTTGACAATAAGTGGAAGCAACTCTGGTTTCACTATTAGGGATGGTTAGGTTAGTTAGGTAGTTTTTCCAGCCAAAGAGAAAAAACTTCATAAAATCGTGAAATCTGAAATGATTGAAATTTTAACGCCTGCGACTAAGCATCAGCAATTAATAAATGGATGGTAATATTTTTTTTATACATTGGATGAGACGTGGCATTTTGCCTTATGTGTGCTCGAGTGCCTTAAGATTTCTGGATTGTAGCGGGCTGTTTGAAGAGTGTGGAAGTTCAGGTTGGCTGGTAGACCGTCAACTTCCTCCCATTGACCCCCAAGAATCCACCTTATGTTCTTATTAGTGTAAATCTTATACAAGAACCTTACTTGGAACTTTTCTTCTATATAATGCAAACTTGATTTTTTCAAAATAGTACATATACAAGAAAAATTACAAAATGTCAAGTTCGGTCAAGAATTTATAATTGATAAAGTAGTCAATTGTATGAAATAAATTAAGGGCTTTTTAAAAATTAAATTTGTCCTTCTAGTTTTCCCAATTTATACTCAGAACAGTTTGATTTCAAAAATTAATATCTTAAAAACATTTTATTTAAAATTGGGTTAGTAGGTTTGTGAGTTTATACAATATGGGCTTGTAAGTAATCAAGGGGTAGTTTTTATTATTATTTTGTGTAAAGTTTACTTTTAGTAAGTTCTAACATCATGTTATAACATTTATTCACTCCTTTATTTGTTTTTGTTTTTTAGTGGTTGGGGACGAGTATCTCCCGGGTGCAACATCACTGCAGACACATTCATTGAAGTTCCCTGTGAGTACTGAAGACATGTAACATTTCTTTTTTCTCCAATAGACCGAAAAACAAATCACCAGTTCCTTAGAAAGTTTGTGCAAATGGCATTAGGAGAACGTTTTTAAGTGGGCCATTGTTTGAATGGGTAGTATCTCACCCACACCGAAACAGTGTGAGAATATTCCCACATACACATGTAGATGATTAAAAAAGATTGGTATGATTGATATCTTACCCACAATTTTAGTTCCACTTCCTAGATGTAGAAGAAAAAATATTCAAATGTGTAAAATGCACACAGAATTTTAATTTCAACATATCATAAATCAATACATTGGCACATCTCTTTCATGATGCAAAAGTAAATAGAATTTTTTAACATTTTATTAATTTCTAATGCTTTTAAAATTGAGTCATCCCTGGAAAACTCTGCTAAATTAACTGAACATGGAAGACAATGCATATAAAACACTTTCTTTTATAATGTCAACAGAATATTTCAGCATAAATCCATTCTAAGCAAGTCGAAGCATAATGTCCCATATTTAAACGGACAAAATCAAACAGAACATTCTATCTCTCTTTAGCCTTTAACTTTCATCAAACCCAGCATTTCATTTACTCTCAAATTTATTACTGCAGGTGGAAAGAGAAGTGATTCTTCAAAAAACAGGCAACAAACAATGCAAAATACCAAATTTAAATGAATATATGAGAAGAGCAAAGACGTCAGTCGCTCCCGATGCCCCGCCTAAACAGATTGCTTGGGTACAACAGCTAAGGGTGAGTTCATCTTGAGCAAATTTATTCATAGTGTCAAAATATTGAACCATTTTAAATTACAGAACGGTGAAAATGTCAATGGAAAACCAAGTACATTGGACAATGTTTTCAGTAAACACGTCACATATAAGGTTATTGATGTCGATTGAAAAGAAAATTATATTTTCATTCCTTCACCAACGAATATTAACTTGTCTTTCATTTGTTCCAGGCTCAACCAAGAACGCTTTATGATTCAAGCAAAGAAAACGATCAGAGTTCATCAATCCAATCTAATTCACCTCAGTAAGTATGATTTGCAATTAGAACTATTAATAGTAGAATCTGCATCTTGATTGTCTAAAATCATCCTGGTGCGAAAATTTTTGTCAGCTTTGTCTGTCAGGCGTGATTCAACATTTCACCATGGAAGTGAAGATAATGAATGCCGCATATGACAGACAAAAGGACATTATTAAAATTAATACAGGATGATTGAAGATGAACAACCCATCAAAGTCTCACATCCTTTGTTTCACACCGATACTGATTGATCTCTGTTCTTTCTTAACATCTAGAAATGACACATAAACAGTAGTTTATCATGAAGTCCTTGTTTTATACAATTAGTAATAGTAAAACTATGTTATATGTTGAATTAGTATACAATTTTTATGTACATTTCTAAATTTAAATATTTAGCCTAATCTTGAATTGTAATGTCTTTTACCTTAATTGAAAAGACATGCTATCTTTTATAGTGAAATCGGTCTTGCAACTTCCACACCTGAAGAAGCCCCAAGAGCACTCAAAACTTACCAGAACCTTAAAGAAATGATATCGAATCGATTTAGCAAGATAACGACTATGCAACCAAGCCAGGCAGCCTCGCAGTCTTCAGTTTCACCTGAATCAACACTAAGCCCTCAATCTCAACTGCGGCAGCATGGCGTTTACCTGGCGAACACAACACCACAAACTCAAACTGTAATTGACTTTTAAATTTTTGTACAGTACAAAGAAAATTAATTTATTTGATTTTAGGAGCACAGGGAATTCCATCCAAGGACCTTTGATTCCAGTCAACCAAACCAAAGTCCCAAACCAATTTTTAAACAACCACAATATATGCATAATAACCAACATGGTAAATTTCCATACCAAGGTATTGTCGAGACACCTGTTATCAAGCGGTCTTATCCTCCCGCAGAGCCTGGGGTCAAACAGGCCCCGTACCCATCAAATCAAGTATGTACCTCTTTCTATTTATTTGAAAATATATGTTAAATTTTTTATTTATTAAATTAAGAATTGGGGTTGGAACAATAATGATCAAAAGACGCCACAGCCAAATTTTAATCAGGATAAATTACCGAGGGTGACAGAATATGACCTTGAGCAAGGATATGCACATTACCCTCAGCCTCCTGCAAGAATGCCATCAGGACAGCCTTACAGGTTATCTTGTGTTATTTACATATTTAACTTGTAGTCTGCTATTTTTACATTTTTCATTTTCATTCATAGGCCACCCTTACAAACTCCACCATCTGTACATATGGCCAAACCACATCAATCGGACCTCAAGTTATCACAAACCGACGTTATCGTTCATCCTCCACCTTGTGAAACAATGGAGCGGAAACATCCTCTTGAACAATTTACGTTAGCTAAGCCCACTATGTCTGAGCAGAATAAAGAAGATGAACCTCAACAAGAAACTAATCACATAAATAAAGAATATTCTGATGAAAAAGGTGACTTAAGTAATTTAACAAGATTTATGCTGTTTATTCAACAATTGCTCTGTAAGAATGTATATCATAAGAACTATGCTTTGGTAAAAACAATAGTGGATAAGTCAGGGATCAAAATCACGAGTGTCAAAGAGGACGCCATATCTCTCACATCAACAACCCCCTTTATATACTGTAAATTTTTAGAATGTAGACGATAAACTAAAACCGAAGTAGGGAACCACGATGGCTGAGTAGTTTCCATCCAGCCACACTTCAAAACCATGGTTTGACCCTTCATCTGCCCCAATGGGTGGCTGGATGTTAACCCTCTCCTCATTTAGATGTAAATGTGTTCTGGGTGTTTGATATACTTGTATCATTCTGTACCTATAAAACCTTAGCACACCTGTAACTCCTAGTATATCAAGAAATTCGATTAGTAAGTGGTTTAATTTCTTCTGTTGTTATGTTGTCTCTCCCGTAGTGCTTTCTCCTGTGAGCAAGTTTATTGTTAATAGATGCGTTGGTGTCTCTTCTGCTTCCTTGCAGAGTCTACACATACCATATTGTATTGTACCAATCTTCTTCAAATACCCATTCAGTTCACAGTGTCCTGTTAAGAATCCTGCTTAGATTTGAAGCTGTTCCTGCTTTCTTTGATGATTCTGTTGCTTATTTTCTACCAAAACTCCCTGGGAGATTCTTAGATTGTCTGTGTCTTTTTGTCTAAGATAGTGTGAATCCCTATGCCACAGAAGGGCTATCAGCTAGCATCCCCTTTTGGATGCAAGCAATGGCATCCACTCTCTCGTTTTTTGTTTTTTTTTATTATTATATGTCCTAAGGGCTAGCCAAGAGTAACTTTACTTTGCAAATTTATTTAATTTAGTTTTGAAATTTAGCACCACCTTTGAGCTAATAATGTTTAAACTTAGTGTTGAGTACATCTCTCAATTAAATGGACTTCAGCTTGTAAAATACTGAGTACATTCCTTGGGTTCTGAGTACTTACTTCCAGGACTGAGCCCACCTGCTCCCATACCTTCATACTTTCTTGATCCATCAGCATACCAACAGATGTGTCGTTCTCAACAGTGGGCTCATTCCGATTTTTCCATGCTTTTATGCCATCCTGTATGATAGGAATTTATTATTTTACTTTTTATGCCTTTTATTCATAGTTTGGACTAGGTAGTTAAATGGAATTTAAATCTTTAGCTCAAACACTCATGAAGCTTTTCTTAAGTTTTTTTTTGTTTTTTTGTAGAAATTAGTTTAGTTTAAGTTAGTGAGTAGTGTGGATGTGTAATGTATATTAAGTATCTGTATGCAATGAACAGTTTATCACCATAATTTTAAAACTGAAATCTGCCTACATTCTTCATAAAAATACTATAAATTACCATATTACAGTACAGTTCCATTTTTTAAATATATTTTGAGGTAAACATTTCTTTTATGGTTCCGGTCGTCTAGGTAAATGTAGATCGAGTGATTCAGGAAGAGGAAGTACTGCATATTCCAGTGTAAAAACTAGTACTGAAGATACTTCATTGCCTGCTGCAGGTATACAATATCAAATTTACCTAATTAATATTGTTTTACTAGTTTTTTTATAAAATCCTAGATCTCAGCCCTCATTGGCCGGACAGAGTGGAATCGGAATTGAGAGAAATACTTCGCTCTCCGAATGATGATGCAGCCGACGGAGGTTTAGATCCAACGATAAAAGAAGATTCAAGTGAAAGCTTCTCTTCAGTGTCGCCCCCTTTGCCGCCACTTTCCCCTAGATCTTCTGATGATACTTACGGTCGCCCAAGGTCATTTACAAAATAAACCCATTTGAAGTTTTCTATTATAACTTATTTCTTGTCACAGGCTTACAAACGGTTACAAAGGAAAAGGAGGTGGTACGCTTTGGAGTGGGAGGCATAAAGATAAAAGATCTCATAAATCAAAATCGTCAAGTAATTAATTTTTTTTAAAGCTGTTTGTTAATATTTTTGTAATCTTTAATTATTGATAATTTGCTAGAATTAACTTCTTCAGCTTTTGATATTGATTCAATGCCAGAAGAGAACAATTCAAGCGAAGATGGTTTAGACTATACAGATGCCAGGGCGATAAGGAAGCAATTGGAAGGCTTGGAGACAATGTACGCTCATGTATGTTGCATACCATATTTTCATTTAATATACCAACACCATTTGTCATTATATATCTCTAATTTTGTGTCTAAATTATAGGTTCTTAAACTTCTTGGTGTTAAGAAGCATGCGATGGGAAAGTATGAAGCTTCAGATCCACGTCTTAATAAAAGAAGAAGTTGTGGTTCAATATCATCAGCCCCAAGCTCTCTTAGTGGTCGAATAATACGAGTTACGGATAGGAGGGGTGGTGTTCATCGCACAGGGAAAGTAAGAGACATGAAAGTATGTTTATTCTTCTTTTTTTTTTAAATCTTTTTTGACTAAGAGCATGTTTTTTATTTTTTATTTTTTTACAGAGTATTAATAAAAGGTTTCAGAGACTCGAGTCTCACGTGGTAACATTAGCTAGGTCTGTGGCACATCTTTCTTCTGAAATGAGAACTCAGCATATCATGATGCAAGTATGTGGGCATAGATTTGAAACTATACAACGTCAGTTTATTTTTACTATAGGTAATATACAATAATGTGCTAAAATGTCTGAACAGGAAATGGAAATGATGAGGGGTGAACTAGCTGCTTTAAGGATTCACACAACTACGCAGCAAACAGCACAGAATTTAATGTCCCCGTCTACATCCCATGGGGTGAATCAAAAAAGCCAAAATTCTTCAACTCCAGACAGGGTCAAGCGGCTCACAAAGTTTTTCGGTGACGAGCCACCATTGCTTAGATTGTTTCTACGTAAACTGGGATATGAGGTAGCTACAACTTTGAAATTTTAACAGCCGTTCATGTATCTTGTTTTTCATACTACATATTAATTCAGAATTCTGGATTTAACAGAAATACGCGACGCTGTTCGAAAAAGAAAGGATTGGCCTGCTAGAGCTACCTTTCATGACAGAAGAAAGGCTGCAGAAACTGGGGATACCTTTAGGTCCGAGGCTGAGAATTCTTCAGCAAGCACATCTCGCTTCACCCAACACCCTCTGTGTTCTTTGATGTCCTTATTCTTTGTTTAAAATAACATTTACCATAAAGCTCAACAAAAATATTGAAACAATAACAACCAAAGTGAACTACACAAAAATGTCAAATTTGTATATTGCAGAAAATCAAACTTACACTTCTAGAATTATTTTAATTATAATATACATTTTTTTAAATATATTGTTCTGGAAACTAAATAACATATTTTTTTAATGTTATAATGTTAAACTATTTATTTTCATGTGTATATCTGTCAAATATAATCTGTACATAATTATAAGGTTTTTATATTTCATTTCATTTTAATTTAATTTATTTTCTTATAAAAATTAGAGTTGGCGGTTCATAAATTAAAATTAGTGTGTAAAAAAATTCTACTTTTACCAGCATTAATCTATACGGATTATCCACCTGCTAGATATGCTCTTTATGTTGAACATAGATTTGAGGTATTCCTCGAATATTTTACCTGACAAATCAAATTTTTTGTACTGTCAACGTTTGTTACAAATTTATTATGTTTCGAGTTCCACTTGACAAAATAAATTCTTTTCAATTAATTAAGGTTTTGGTTGAGATAAAAAAATGGCATAAACGGTTGAAAAATGGCAAAAAGGAGGGAAAATTCAAAAGGTGGAGTTGAGATAGGAAGTTGGTGTCCGAGTGGATCGAGGTCACGATAGCTCAAGTGGCTAGAGCAGCGGTGTATCTAGCCGAAGGTCGTGGGTTCGAATCCCCCTTGTGATACTGACTTTTTTATCTCAACCAAAACCTTAATTAATTGAAAAGTTTCTTATAAAGTTGCGGATTAAATGTACAAGCATGTTGCAAAATAAAAATAAACAGTACATTGTTAATACATATCGATTACACATGCTTATGTTTTGTGTGAAACTAAAACAAAGTATACAAGAGTATAAAGTACAAATTAGGCAGTCAGATGCATTGAAAGGTTTTAAATTAACAATAGTCGTGCTCGCCTGCTTGAGGATAGGCCAAACCCCATTTACACACCTGCATACCATACAATTGTAGAGAAAAATCCGTGTGTCACGCTTGGCCAAGGAGTGACAGCCTTTGGCCCCTTATAGGGAGAGAGTAGGCAAGGCATGCAGTATAAAAACAGTCCTTGGCAGGAGAGTTAGTTGTTGGGTCCTCTATTTCAATTTTTAAGGAAAACAGGGTCTTTCCCCATCTGTAATTATTGTACGTATTAATTATCTATTGTATGTATGTATATTGTATGTGGTTGTGCTTGTGTGTGATGAGTGAGTAGGGGGATATCTGGTTCCTAACGATGCTCACAGTGCATTGGAGGCTGATTGGTACTCTGGTGTAAAAAAAGATATGTAAGTATTCAACCCTTGTACCTTATTCATCAGACGTTTTATCGTAACAGTACATATTTATGTTGGTTCAGTTGGAAAAATGTACAATACAATAGCTGCTATTGAACAAGGTAAGCTTTGCATCTTTTCATTTGAACTCATCTAGCTGCACATTTGGCCTGTGCCTCCTTTTAATTACAATTATTTTTAGTAAATATTTCTTAAGCCAGATCAGGTTCAATATTTCAATCTTTCAGACATCACTGGGCTTCTATACATTGGAATATATAATTAATATAAAAAATAATTATTAGAAAGAAAATAGAAAATAAATATTTCAAATTTTTAGAATAGAAAATATTCATATCATAATATATCATTTCATAATGATTCAATAATCAGTTTACAACTGTTACTCATTAACAATAGAATTGACTAATTTATCATATTATTACAAATGATGATTTTTATCTAGTTGTGTTTTGTGATGACTGAAAAACAGGTAAAAAAGGTTTTAGTTACCCAAGTAGTTAACTTGAGTGAAAGCATATTTAATTAACAAATAATAAAATTTAGATAAACACTACAAAAAATAATTGTAAGCAGTTTTCAAACATAGCTTTCACCCAAAACCTTACGTAAAAAGATTAATTAATTGAAAGAAGTAATTTAGTCAATAGACCACTAAATATAATGGATTTAATAGGTTTAAATATTGAATAAATTTGAAATAGATGCAATTGTACATACAAAAGTATTATTGTTTATACTGTTTTCGAATTCGTGAAATAATGATTGTTGAAAAAGTGGTTTGGGTGTTAAAGTTATTAAATACAGTAGCAGTAGTAAGTCAAAATGTCCACAATTGTAGAAAATTGCGTCTTACCATAAACAAAATTTTTCCATAGTACCCTACAAAAATCGAAAAAAGCGTAATTTTTAGCAGCAGGCGATTATATGACATCATAAGAATTTAAAGATGAGCAAAATTATATACAAATGTGTGATAAAAATCCAATTCGTTTAGTCAATGGCTCAAAAAAGATCAAATTGATCGATTTTGTACAGAATCTAGCATAAATTTTAGCATATCATTCGTTAGGTAGGAAACACTCTGTTTTAGAAGGCACTCAAACAAATAAATGTGGTTTAACAGACAAATTCGTTAATAGTCGTTAACTATGTCACTCCTATCGCTTCTCCATTTTACATAAATTTCTTTTTTTTTCAGTTTTACTGCGCACGTTTAAGTTCGCTTAGCTGTATTCTTTCTTGTTGGACGGAACGTCATACCACGTTGTACTATCAAACAATTATTACATGACAATTTGAATCTGACATCACACATGCTGACTTGTCTTATTTTCGATACAAATCAGCCGAAATTTATTTACGTGACAAAGAAATGAACGGCCTTCTCTAAGGTGGAAGCAACGTAACCCGAATTTCATGTGAAAAGGTCATGGCTTCATTTTCAAGCACACCTGGGCGTTAAAATTCAGAAACGGTTCTGGCATTGCCCTGACTAACTGTTATACAAGAGTTCAACTATTGCAAGTAACAAATTTTCGGATTACGCATACTTTGGGGAAAAATATTGAGAAGAAGGTATTTACACGAGAGGTGGGAAATACTTAGGGACGGGGAAAAGTATCGATACTTTATTGTCATCGGAATTTCGCCATTCCGCATAACATTTTTTCGGTATCAAAAAATGCAATATTTACCAGGTCGGAGTAAACTTTTTCTAGATCAAATTAAACTTTTTCTGTATCAACTTGAACTTTTACGAAATCAAATCGAATTTTTCAGAGATCAAATAGTACTTTTTCACATTGAATTGAACTTATTTCGGAACAATTTTTCTAAACTAAACTTTTTCATATCAAATTGAACTTATTCACATTAATTCAATCTCTGACAGATCTAAGTGAACTTTTTCTACATCAAACTAGACTTTTTCTAGATCAAATTGAACCATTGCGGTTCAAATTAAACTTTTTTCACACCAATTGAACCTTCTCCCTATCGAGAATTTGAACGGATCAAATTGAAAATTTCTAAAAGCTAATCCAATTATTACCAAAACGCACGTTTTTTTAAGCAAAATTCTAATATTTCCAAAGCGAAATCGACTTGTTCTAAATGAATTTAAGCTTTTTCGTTTTCTAATTCAACTTTTTCATTAAGCAGATTAAACTTCGTTGTGAAAAAGTCATCTTCCCTGAGAAAGACATTATAAAATGTTTGAAAAGATAAGTAACATTCGTCTAAAGTAACCAGATTTGTATACGTCAAATAGCTGAATTGCTGCCAAAAAGCCTATTGGATGTGTGAAAAAAAATAAAATTTTGTCTTTACAATACATAAAATCGTCTTCTTCGGCCCATTTGAATTTACAAATGGCATCTAGGAAGAAATTTACATTACGATTATGTGTAACATCAAAAATTAATAACAAGTGAAATCTATAATAAAATAATTGGTATCTGTCTGCCCACTTCTACTGTTAAAGTTAATATGGCACAAGTGCACCTATCTTTTTTTTGGAAAGTTTAACGTTTAGATAAAAACGGTGACATAATATTTTTCTTTACTTAAATGTCTCTACCGGTACATAGATCACGACTTCGAATTTTGTATCGTTTTCATTTCATAACAACTTCTCACGCAAATTTTAGCCAACATTTATATAGGATGCTAACCTCCTGATCTATTATTTGAATATTGAAGAAGACTAAACGCATACCGTCTTAAGATATTAATGATTAATCACCGATAAATGACTCAAGAGTTTAGGAAAAAATGGACAATAAACATCAAAGCAATTACGGATAATTTTGTGTTTAGGCTTTGTATCCTTCATGAAAATATAAAAGAACGCGAAAAATATGTGTATAATTATACAATTCTAAATTGACAGTCAGTTAAAGTAGACATGTATGACCAACCAATATAAATTACAAAATTTCAAATCGTAATATGTCAATAAAACCGTTTTGACAATCAAGTTAAGGCGTCAAATTTATTAAATTGACAACTCTGAGTTTTATTCGTATAAAACACGTAAGTTAACTTCGCATTATTATCCAATTAAATGCGTGATATTTAGAAGTTGAATGGGTGGAGCCCAAAATTGTTATGAAAGCTCGCGATGCTTAGATTAAGAGAAATTGGACCGTGGCTGCGTCCTTCACGAAGATAGCTCTCCCACACCTCCTTTGCAATTTAGTCTAGTTTAAAACTAAATGCATAAAAAATTATTATAATTAAATAAATACGTAATTTGTCTTGGAAATCTGGCTTTAAGTGTAAAATGTATGTTGCAACTGCATCGTACACGTATGACCTCAGAAAACCTTTGAGCTTTTTATTCAATTCCTCTTTATTCGAATAAAATTTCGCAAAAAAATTGTGCTCGTTGTGCTATGTGTAAAGTCGAGAATGTTAGGGAAGCAAGTGTTCTATTACGAAACTAGCATGGTTTGGGGTCTGCCAAACGTGCCAGTAAATTTAAGGTCTCTTTTAAGGTTGCTTCTAAGTTTTCGCAAAAGTAGTCAAAAAGTTAGAAACAAGTTAGATTGAACAAAGAAAAACGAAAACCTAAAAACGATCTATGAAAATATCGAAATGTTCATCGGCACATTTAACCAAATCAGTTGCGTGAATATCCCGAAAAATCCAAATAAACTTAATTGTACATAAAGTGAAAACTTTACTCATTTTCGGCTCTCCATATCTCCAAAAAGATTCAGCTGTGAAGATTATTTAAAATTGAGCAATATTTAATTCATTTATGAATCATTGTTGACCTTCATGTATAAAATATTGTTAAATTGAAATGTGTAACATTTTCCTTGATCGTTTGACCTTTAAGTGTTTAATTTTGGCTTATTTATTCCCGAAGTATTTTATACTAACTAGCGACAAACAATTTCGTCTTGTATGTATAAATAAATTAAGGCCATAATTCGAATAATTATTATCATTTGAGTTATTACATGACGTCTTTACTTTGTTACAACAATTTCAGAAAAATCAATAAAAGAAAAATAACATTAAAACTTAATCACTTTACTTTAAAACGGTTTTTTATATGGGGAGGCCAAGAAATTTATTACTTTTGTCAGATTTGGGTCTCGAATTTTGCAATTTTGATCATCCTTGCAAAAGTTTGTATAGAAAAATTTCAATTTTCCTCCTAGAACCGGTATGAATGATTTTTTTTTTAAATAAATTTATAAAACATATGTCAGTGGATAGTTCCAGTTTCAAAATTGCACAAAAACCAATTCAATTGCTATTGGCAAATTTAGATATTTCGTCAACGTTTTGTACAGTTTTGATTTTTGGAGAATTTTTAGTTTTATACCAGTCAATCCATGAAACATTTGGTAGAAAATGATGAGACAGAAGAATTTTTTCAAATTTTCATCCTATCGACATTAAAGATATTCAAGCAAATTGTTCTAATAAGTTTGTTAAAAATTGTGCTAGAATTTTTGTTACTTAGGTATGCTGTTTTTAATTAATAGCATATCTCGGCACTAGCACGGTCTGCGGGGGTTTGCTGATCAGTGTCAGTTATTTCAAACTCATTCGAAGCTTTGGTGGTTTTTTCTACCACGTGACAAGGAAGTATTCACACCCAAATAAAATCAGAAAGAAACAAACAAGTTTGAAGGAGGGGTAAGACGAACGAAAAAAGTGGTCAAAGCAGGATAAATTATTTCCCCAAGGACTTAAATGTTATTTAAAAACATCACTTATTGTTATTAATTACAAAACGTACAAAAAAACCTATGAACCAACTTCCCGAACATGTTAGTTTATTTGAGGTATGAAAATCTCGAATAGGCTAACACAATGAATCGTTTTGTTAAAAATTTAATTTTTGTAAAAAAAAAAAAAATAGAATGAATTGTCATTTTAACTAGCAAACCCAAATTTTAAAGACTTGCCTGATAAAACAGACGTGTAAACGTCTGAGATGGCTGTATCGGTACACATCAAAACTATGTCTATTGGCTGCTAGACGTCAATTACGTCAAGAGCGCGCAATCGACGACAGTTTTCCACCCGTGAAGTCCCAACTTCGTTCTGTACTGCTCTCCTCATCCTTTCATGCCATGAATCCGACCAGAAAAGACGACCACCCGTTTATTTTTGGATGGATGATTGCAAAAATCTTGTTGCACAATGAAAAAGGCAGGGTCAAGCCGACCCCACCCGCGCCCCTCGTCTGACTATATAACATTCAAAACACAGACTGCACCCATACATTCTGCCGTCTCTCATACAGGTAACAATAACTTCAAATCTTATCTCCCCCCCCCAAAAAAAAGGCCTTATTAAAAAATAATCGAGAATAAAAATTAATTTAATTTATCCTTTTTAATTACATTAATCATACAATTATTACATTTTTAAAGTTTACAATTCACTTAAATTTAATAATAAATTTATTCGAATTTTTTATTTAATTTGATGCTATATATTTGTGTTATTTGGATTTTTAAATTGAAAGTTAATAATTTAAATAAATTTACTTACAGACAAAATTTTTTGCTTTCTATTTGGGACATACAGTAGAAGCGAATAAACAATCAAGTAATAGTCAGATAAATAATCAAATAAATAAATAGAGCAATAAGGAATACGACATATTGTATCACATTTACCTTTAAATTTCATCTACTTACATACTACAATTTATTACATATATTAATATACTACGTTGTATTACATTTCCATATAAACAGGGTGTCCCGTAACAGACGTCAATACTTCAGGATGTATTCGACATGACTTTCCAGGTTAGTTCAATCTTTCAGAACTTTTTTTCCATAAAAAGTCCATCTTGTCTCATTAAATGTTAATCCTACTATAAAATTTATTAGACCATTGGCGAGAGAACTGAAAACCAGGTTAGATTCATGTTTTTACGAATTTGCAAAGTTCGTGTCTAAAGTTGAAGTAAGATTTTCTAAGTTTGTAAATTCTGACAGATATGGTGCTTACAAAAAAGTTACCCCCTACTAATGAGCTGTAAAAACATGTACTTAATGTCTCAATGGTCAATTATCACGAATGTAAAATTAATTTTATTTCTAAAAATTTAATTTTTTTGTTTACAACTTCCAATAAAATGGTCACTAAATTTTGAACTTTCTTTTTAAAAATAATGAAAGTAATACAAAGTAACGAAAAAGATAGTAGCACAAAATTGAACATAATAAAAAAAGCTTCTTAAAATTAAATGAAATGTTCCAAATATCCACCTTTTTTAAAAATGTAAGCCAAAGAAGATGGAAATTTTGAAGATTTAATTTAATTTTTAGAAACTTTTTATTTTTCTTGAGAAATTAAGTACATGTGTTTACAGTTCATTAGTAGGAGCAAAATTTCTGTAAGCGCCATATCTGTCAGTATTTACAGAACAAAAATCTTACTTAAACTTTAGACAAAACTTCGGAAGCTCGTAAAAGATTATCTTCCAATGTTGAAGAGGATCATGTTTATGGTCTTGAAAATTAATAATTACTTGGTTTCAAGATCATAAACTTGATCCTCCTCAACATTGAAAAAAAACTGGTCGATCCTCTGTGTAACATTATCTTCTAATTGTTTTGTATTTTGAATTTGGAAAAATTTTGTCTAAAGATTAAGTAATATGTTCTGAGTTCTGTAAATACTACAGATATGCTGCGTACGGAAAGGTTGTCCCTACTAATGAGTTGTAAACAAATGCACTTAATTTTTCAAAGGTCAATTATCACCAATATAAAATTAATGTTTCATTGCTAAAAAAAAAATAATTTTTACGGCTACAACGGTTAAAGAAAAGGTCATTAAGATTTTGAAACTTATCAAATAAATGATGAAAGTAATACAAAGTAAACGAAGAAACCTTTAGTACAAAATGGAACATAATAAAAAGTAAAAGCTTCTTAAAATCAAATTAAATTTTTAAATATCCCCTTTTTGAAGAATGGAAGCCAAAGAAGGTGGATATTTAATTTAATGGGTCTAAGCTTTTTATTTTTCTCGAGAAATTGAGTAAATTCATTTACAGCTCATTAGAGGAGGGAAGTTTTTGGTAAGCGCCATATCTTTTGGCATTTACAAAACTAAGAAAATTTTACTCAAACTTTTGGCAAGAACTTCGAAAATTCGTAAAAGTTAACCTTAAGTAAAATAGGTAAGATAATCTTCTAAGTGATTTTAGATTTTTTGTTTAAGGTCACAATAACAAATAACCTATGAATCCCATAGGGTTTTTCAGTTCTCTTTTCATTGGTGTAATCAAATTTACAGTGTAAAGTTTTTTGAGTTTAGTTGGATTTTATGGAATAAATTGTGAGATTTCCTCCTGTGGTCTGCGGGGTGATAAACCTATCGTTCGATAGTTATCTGCCATCTTGGTCTGCCTCTTCCCTAATTTTTTTCAGCCATGGATAGGCAGGCCAAGGTAATAGATATTAAACAATATCTTTATTGAATAAATTCTCAGAGAAGAAGAAAAGTTGTAGCAACTTGAAAATTGAATATCTCAAATACTGTGTTGTGATTAGTGACCGTTAATCGATAGTTATTCAGAAATCGTGAGATGCGGTCTGGTGTGATGTAGGTTTCAGAAAAACATTTTCTTTATCGTGCCAACGTTTCGATCTTTATTGAGATCATCTTCAGGGCCTGGGATTTACAAACATAGTTTACATTTGACAAATACATTTAGGATGTGGAAAAGTGAATTTGTACAATGCAAAATATATTTATTCAGATATCGTGAGATGCGGTCGGGTGTGATGTAGGTTTCAGAAAAACATTTTCTTTATCGTGCCAACGTTTCGATCTTTATTGAGATCATCTTCAGGGCCTGGGATTTACAAACAATGTTTACATTTAACAATTACATTTAGGATGTGGAAAAGTGAATTTATACAATGCAAAATATATTTTATATTCAAACAAAGTATTTCTATATTATATTCTATATTCTATATTTTGCATTGTATAAATTCACTTTTCCACATCTTAAATGTATTTGTTAAATATAAACATTGTTTGTAAATCCCAGGCCTTGAAGATGATCTCAGTAAAAGATCGAAACGTTGGCACGATAAAGAAAATGTTTTTCTGAAACCTACATCACACCCGACCGCATCTCACGATATCTGAATAACTATCGATTAACGGTCACTAATCTCTATGCAAAATATATTTTTTATATTCAATCAAAGTATTTCTACTCACTCAAAGTGTTTGTCTTCTGTGTAATTGTGCCATTCTTGCGTGTCGTGTTGAGAGTGCCAGTAAAATTTTACTGGTTGTTTTTCTGAAACCTACATCACACCAGACCGCATCTCACGATTTCTGAATAATTATCTCAAATACTATTAAAAATCATACCTTGAACACTAGGGACTTTTTAGTCCAGTTTGACATATCAACTACTGAAACGGTGATGTCTGTTCACGGAACACCCTATATATTTTATAAGCTAAGAATACGAGAAAAAAATACCTGAAGAATGCCTATGCTAAAATTAGTATTGTTCAAAGTGATTGTAAATTTTTTTTTTTTTGTAAAAATAAATACACATATTCATATTGTTCATTGTTACTTTAGACAATTATCCAAATGATATTCTCTAAAAGAATCTCTGGTAACTAGCTTTAGAAGAAGAATATTTTCTTTATATCCATATTCTTATACTTTCTATCTTATTTACTTACATATTACATTTACTTATATACTACATTACATTGCAGGAAATTAATCTAATAATTGCAGCCTTGATGTGTGAATTGAATGAAGCAAAATTGAATTTAGACCAAGCAAGATATTATCTCTTCATAATATTTTTTTAACTTGCAATAATTTATAAGAATTTTTATTTAATTTTTAATTATTAATGCTTGGATTAATTTTTTTGTTCTGGAGAAGTTTATAGCATTATTACATTTTGTATTTTAGTCGTTGCCGATCTGCCTATCGTCGAAATCGTTTATCATGATGACCGCCAAAAAAGCAAGGGTAGTCGGACGAGAATGATCGGGCATTTCATCAAACAGTACTGATTTGGCAAAAGTAAATATTGAAATTGGAAACATTTCTTAATCGGAGGAAGAAGAAAAAAATTTGAACAATAAAACGAAATCCTTTGTGTTGCGTAAAAAAGGAGTATGTTACGTTGGGTTGTAGACCAATTTTAAATGTCAATCGTAACGACTGACTATACAGGCGGTTTAGACGTTGGCAAGATAGCGGTGAACTTTTTTGGGGGTAATGTATAATTGAAGGTGCGCCTGCTTGATTTATACTTCACAATTCGGTTCGCGTTTCCCCAGGCAGAGTCACGATACTCTGTACCCCCACATCTCGGGCAATTATTTCTCGGTGCCTTGAAACTGGAGATAAGGTTTTCCGGTTAACATTTCATTTGACATTATCACACTGTAAAATTCTTCATTGTCCAATAATTTCAAGCCTAGTTTAGAGCGATGAAGCATTGGTTTATAATTTCAAAAGTTTTTTAAATAAATATTTTGTTTGTATTTTAGAATGTTGCAGTTTTGGATGTTTCTGCTGAGCATTGGAACGGCTTTGGCCGGTGTTCCATATCATACGTCTTACAGTGCCGGAGTCGGTTACAACTCCGTTGAAGCGGCTGTGCCTCCGCCCTTTCTACCACAACTCGGTTATGCTTACAGTAATGTTTATAGCATGCCCAGAGCTGTAGTCGCTAATGCTCCTCATGTTGTGGTCGCACCGCCAGTCGAAACATACACGGCTGCATTCGTTCCAGCTGTAGAACATCATCCTGCCGAGGCAAGCGTAAACGTTATCGATATTCATCATCCTAAGGTATCGACAAGGAAATTCGAAATCAGAAGACCCGCGATCGAAAAGCAATTTTATGACATAGAAGAACGAATAGTGGTTCGACCAGCTGGGAAAGCTGTCGTCGAACTCGAACAACCCGTTTCGAAACATCAACGCGGCCCTGCGGTTGTCAGTTCGATCTCTGCCGTCAACACAGTTTTTCACCCTTTGACTGTTACACCTGGACTCCATACACCTGTCCACGAAGCAGGCGTCGTTCACACTCCTGTAGTTTCTCCTACTCCGTCGCCACCGAACGTGTTCTTACCGGAGCAACCACAGCATGGGACTTTTCCATCACCGCAAGAAAACTTTCCTCAGCAGCCTGAAAATGATCAATCATCGCAGTTCGACGACTCCGATTCGGTCACCATCGAAAACGCAGAGATCGCCAACGTTAGGAGTCAATTGCAACAGCCAAGCCCACAGCCATCTAATGTTCAACAGTTTCAATCTGGCTTTGGGAGAACTGGACCGAACCATCCGGCCAATGCTCAACAGTTTCAGTCTGGCTTTGTGAGAACTGTAACGAACCAGCCATCCAATGCTCAACAGTTTCAATCTGGCTTTGTGAGAACTGTAACGAACCAGCCATCCAATGCTCAACAGTTTCAATCTGGCTTTGTGAGAACTGTAACGAACCAGCCATCCAATGCTCAACAGTTTCAATCTGGCTTTGTAATAACTGGAGCGAACCAGCCAAGTCCACAATTTCAATTCGACCTGATTTCCCAGCACCAACACGCGAATGGTCAGTTGGAACGGCGACCATCCGTCGAACTCTTCCGAAATCAGCAGGACTTGGAAAAAAGACTTCCTTCTGGTCAAAAGCAAGAAGTGCAAACTCGATTACTGGCACAGAACGACCAGCAGTTCGATCAAGTAAATCAACAACTTTACCAGTACAATCAATATCCGAGGACAAACATTCAACCTCTACGAGCTCTAGAACTAAGCAGTGTTCAAGAAAATCTTCGTTCCGAAGATGTGTTGCGACAAACCTCAGGTCCTGATTTCAAGTCCAGAACAGCCCAAGTTTCAAACCAAGAACGCTTGATTGACCTTCTCACCGCCCGTGGTGGTGTCACCGAGGTAAGAGGATATGGCGAGGGTGCCTCAGGAGGAAGTCCAGTGAGAGCCCGCGTCCTCTCAGTGACCGCGAGCCCTCGCAACGCCGAACTCCAAGACGAAAAAGTAAGCACAAGAAGAGTCGTCGTCAACAGGCCGATTACCACAGTCGAAGAAGTAGATGTCATCGAACCTTTTACAAAAGTCGAGCGTGTCGCTGTTAACCAGCCTGCTCTGATCAAAACGTCTGCAGTCAATGTGCCTACAGTCCCTGTTCAGCACTATGCCTACACAGTTAGTCCCTTAATTTAGTGTCAAAGTGCATGAATCGTTTTCTTAAAAATCTCAATTGAATGTATTAAAACTATTTTTTAGTACAAATTTCATAAGTGCATTTCATGGCAACTGGCTGTAGAAATGTTCCAATCATTATTTAATTGCATAGTGATATAGATTAAAATATTTCTAAAAATTAATGCAATAGCTATAATAAATACTGTACAATAAATTCCCATTTGTTACCTTTTATATAAAATAAATTATTTTTTCGCTTGATGATTTGTAAATGTATTGGTACCATGCCCAAAATGGTACTGTATAAAAGTACTGCAATCAGTGCCAAGTAGTTTTTATTTTTAAATTATGTGGAACTGAAAGTACGTTAGGAATTTCTGCTAAAAAAAAGAAGAAATTCGATCAGTTCAACTATATTTCAGAAATTTTTATAATAAAGCAACCCAAACGTCATTTACATATTTTTTATTAATAACATAATTTACTTTTTTAAAGTTTAAACTATTTTAACATTTGAACCTTACCTTTAGACGGTAACTCCCTAATGCAAGCACTCTCATGGTAATTTTAAAGGGCACGTATTTTTGTTTTTTGTTTTTTAAATCAGATTATTTCTTAAATAATAAACTAAATATACAGCCTACTAGAGCAACCAGAAACCGAAGAACTGTCATAAACACGTCCTGTTACTAAATCTTAAAGTTACAACATTAAAAAATAATCGAAATGTTCCACAAGTGAGGCGCCAATATTTTTCTAATAAGAAATTCAAGATAATATTCTACTTGTAGGCTAGCAGCATCAGAACAAGTAAACATGTACGCGAAGGGGGTTTTTCCTTTAAAACAATGTTCGCTGTATAAAAGCTAATCGAATGACCCGAGATTCAGTTCTAGAAGTAACTATGATAAATTCTTTTTTTATTACATTTATTTACAACTAAAACTGAACTGTGGCAAGTTAAGAAAGACGTCGGTCCCTAATTCGAAAAGGGAAAAGCCCATACTGACAAAACACATACGCATAGGTCATACAAGAATAACACGGGCACCTTCTGGCTGGAAAGCGACCGCGTAGGTGCCCGTTATGCAAGGATAGAATATTTGACAAATCATCTGACCTATGCGTAGCCTTAGAGCACGGCAGCGGGCACAGATCGTTATTACGGTACGTCAGGGCTATATGGATTTTTAAGTGAATATTTTATATGTGTTTGTGGAGAGAATGTAATTTATTAGCGTGACAGGAAGTTAGTAGTTTAACACCGCCCCGAGTAATTTGGGGTGAGTGTGTGACGTCTGGAGAGTAAAAGTAAGTTATTAGTAGGGCTGTGATTTATATGCAATAAAAACAGACAAATATGCACATATATGTATATGTAAATATATTTGGTAAAAACTGCAATTTAATACTGAAAATATGCGAAAACTGCCATGAGAAAAAAATAAGGGAACATTAAATTAAAGCACATAATTGGAAAGAGAAACAGTGGCAAGAGGAACATCACATTGCTAATATTAAAAAAGAAAAACGCATTAAAAAAAGTTAAATTTAAAAAATCCTTCGTCTCAGCCATCGAGACCCAGATCGGTCCATTTTCGATGAAGTCTCTGATTTTATGGGGTGTTTCATTGTATATAAGATCCAGGTGAGATTTACTGAGGGTACTTTCGTGGGGAACGGTTTTCCCTGTGTATTTTTCAAAAAAACCTTGCATTCAGGGTGGCTTAGTTTATGGACGGGTATGTCAGCTCTAACTAAAGAACGACATAAATCGGTGTCGAAACCGGACTTTTCGGTCAGCTCTTGTGGCTGCTTGTGTCACAAAGGTTTGTTGAAACTTAGACTTCCTACCTTTGTTTTCCTTGTTTTTTGCTGTCTTTATGTGCTGCCCTACAAAACAACGTGTAGCTGTTGATACAGGTTTATCACAACAAACACAGTATAAAGCATCTGCATAGTCCTTTAAAAGTTTCACTTGAAAACTCACTCATATTCTTTTGAACAAGATCTTTCGTCTTTGCTGTGATTTTCGGCATTTTAGGAGTCTTCAGTTCACAACCCACAAATGTGGGCCATACTCAGAGGAGTGTAGGACTACTAACCGGTCATTGGCATCTGAGAAAACATCTACACAACATGGTCATATACAACGATGATCCCATCTGCAGATTATGTAATGAGGAGGAGGAAACAGCCACCCATATCATCTTCGAATGTGAAGCAACAGCTCAATGGAGATTTAACCTAACATACGGAAAAAACTTAGGGAGCCAAATTACAGCAGCGACAGTCAATGACCTGATACTTCAAGGAGAAGGATTGAGTCTATCGCACTGAACTAAGCAACTAGGAAGGTACAATAAGCCAAAAGGCTGCAGTCCCTGGGTAGCACAAACCCCGCTTCCTAGTATCCAATTTACCATACCATACCATACAACACACAAATAATGTTTCACGATGGAAAACGCATGAGAGACTTGGTAAAACTGAGAATTATGATGGCAGGGAAAGAAGAGAACTGAGGTCGTAATATTTCTATGAATCCAATTATACTATTCCAAGAGAACTTTTACAGTGGTACAAACACTATTCCTTTCTTTATTTATACCAAGAGAAGCTAAGGCGGCCGAAAGCGGTGGAGCAGCAACTGAACAAACACAAATTCGTTCATTATGTGGAAACGGAAAAATGGGAGACCGTAGCTCTTTTTCGGAGAATTTTTCTTTTTGCCTGCTCTGAAACATTAAAATTTGACGTGCCAAATACCGATATGCCGGATATGTAAAAAAAATATGCAGTTATAACCCACTTATGCAAAAATATGCCTTTATGGCAATATATGCGCAAATATTCAAAATAAATATAGCTTAAATTGATTTCAAATGCTTCAAAACATATACAGTTTGTTAAAACTGGATATTTTAGTTAACCAGGAAAAATATGCAAATGCATATATTTCACAGCCCTAGTTATTAGCAAGAGTGGAGTGGGTTCAACCCCGCCCCGTGGAATATCGAGTACTCTGGAGGAGTGAATGTGACCAGACTTTTATGTTTCTATCGATTGTTGTGAATGTGTTAATTTATTGGAATTAATGTAATTTATTAGCGTGAAAGATAGGGGTTGCTTATAACCCCGCCCGAGGAATGTGGAGTACTCTGGGGTGAGTGTGTGACGTCTGGAGGGTAAAAGTAAGTTATTAGCGAGAATAGGGTGAAATCAACCCCGCCCCGAGGAATATCGAGTACTCTGGGGGAGTGAATGTGACCAGACATATATGTTTGTGGTGATGTATATATATGTATTGCATGTTTTGTTTCTATTCTGTATTTGACAACCTGACAAACGAGAGGCTAGCATTTTAGGATGTCGCAGTGGTACATTTAAAAGCAGAGTCAGAAATCAGATCGAGACGCTCAAGTGGCTGCAGTTTAAAGCAATACGCTCGACAGAAGAGAAAAAAAATGAAAACACGCTGACGGCAGGCGATGACCTCAGCAGATTGTCGGCCCATAAACTTCCCATTTTATTATTATTACAACTACAACAATAATGTATTATGTAAATATTTTCATACATGCTGAATTTCTCGTTTGAATCACTTGTTGCCCAATGACACACCTTCGCACTGAAACCTCGTCAATGTTCATTCAATGAGACGTTATCGGGGTCATTTTCGCTTCAATCGTCTTGAAGTAGTTTCTAATAGGGTTAGAATAATAGTCGAATTATTAGATCATTTATGTATGCTTAGTGATTGATGTATTTTGAATGGTTTTGATGAGAACGAGGTGTGTAGGTCGTTATGAATAGAGTAATTTGAAACATAAAAGGGATTATAATTTGATGGAGAGTTTTAGACTGAATCGATTGGTGACATTGGGAATCGGAATCCTTGATTGAGCCCCACCTTCACATCGGTACGCCCAGAGAGGTCTTATCATTGTCTTGTAAATTAAAAGTTTATTTTCAATATTTCATTTTGATCGTGAGTCAAGCAGTCTTTTCAATCGTCGCTTTGTTTCTTGTTTTTTCTTTCTTGAGTTGGTATTCAGAGTGGATCTTTTTATCCATGTGTACTCAAAGATAACGCAAATATGGTAGGCAATGAGGTTCCATTTATACTCATTGGAGGACAGATACTTTTACGCAGGGTAAAATTTATTTGTACCCTTTTCGTTAGGTTTAGTTTCACTCTACACTTTGTGAACTGTTAATGCATTCAGGTGTTGTAAGTGTTGAGTGTTCATTGAAGGGTCCGAATTACGTGAAAGATTCGCTGTATCAATATTAACGTGTGTAGGAATATCTGCGGTGTATATTGAAAATTAACACTAAAAATACTATACACAACACAAAATGATTACAGAACTGGAGACTTTATAAGTTCGTCATCCAACGATATTTTTTTCGCAAGTCCAATAAATAGTGAATTTCAAGAAAATACGAATCTCTGATTCTGGAGGCGCCCGCCAGCAACAACAGTAGGGCGAAGAACTAACTGTTCCCATGTAATTATTTCTGCTGGTGATTGTAATAAAGTAAGATCTTGAAATAATTGAAGAAGAGAGGATTTCCCTTCACGAACTTTCCTAAGTGTTGAAAACAACGTAAGGACCTGTAGCGAAAGGATAGTTCAAGTTTTAACAAAAGGCCATTTCATTTGTCGCCGAGAATCAAATAGATTACACGACATTTGAAAAATGGCAAAAAGGAGGGAAAATTCAAAAGGTGAGGTTGGGATGGGGAGTTAGTGTCCGAGTAGATGGAAGTCACGAAAGCTCAAGTGGTAGAGCAGCGGAGTATCTAGCCGAAGGTCGTGGGTTCGAATCCCGCTCGTGACGCTGACTTTTTATCTCAACTAAAAACCTTAATTAATTGAAAGATTTTAATTGGTCAAGCGGACCTCAAAAACTAGTGAATTTTAACAAAAGTTCTACGATCTGATTAACCAGTAGTCAGTTCATTTCTGATCATTTTGTTTTGCCCTTCTTATCTACTTTGTTTGTCAGGAGAATTCGGTTTTTCGCTTCTTTTTTACACTGTCTAATGGCCTCAGAAACGAACAAGCAACAGAAAAACCTGGTAAAGGACGAAAGGATAATAGGTTCTAATAGTAATTAAGGTAAGACATTCCATGAAAAAGTAAATGATATTCTCATCCAAAAAGGCATTCTTGCTCTCTCTATCGGGTTGCAAAATAAATATTCTTTGCTCGGTATAACAGATTTGAAATGAAACTCCAAGTCAGCGTGATC